ACACACAGACTGTGAGTGTTGGTAGGTCGGGTTTCGGGGGTGTTGAGTATAGGGAGGGCGCGGGTACCCCAAGACAATAAGGCAAGCGTCCCTGCCTCTTAACTGCAACCGGCACCAAAGAGAGTCGGGGAACTGCGAATCTGAATCTTCCACAACTTCGCACTCTAAGTCGTTTCGGTAGTACAGGATTACCCCTCCTCCTTTTGCGAGCCTGTCGTTCCGGATCAGCGACATGCCGGGTAGCGACACTTCAGCGTCCGTCATTCCTGTGTGCAACCATGTCTCGGAGATACCAATGACATCATACGTCTCGGAAGCTTGGCGATCTTTCAGTTCAGCCAGTTTGTTAGAAAGACCCTGAGTATTCGCATACAAGCATCTCAGTTTCTCGGTCTCTAGGAGCCCACAGATGGGTGAAGCGGTCACGTGTGGGAGAATGCCGGCCGATGGGTGGTCGGCAGTTACTCGCTTTTTTGATGCGTCAATGAAACCTCGTTTGCAACTTGATTCGGCCAAGGTGCGTCCCAACCTTCGTTTAGACCTACGTCAGAGTCAATTAAAGCAGCAGTCAAGTTACGCTTTTGTATATTCGTCGGTATGCTTGCTGCTTCAGTTGCTTTAATATTTGAGCTGTGCGAATTGTTTGCGACCTTTAACCGAATTTCGGAAGGAAGATGTTTCCGATTTCTCCGCCATCAATCAATAGCATCCTTTGCTTGTTGCTCTGACCGAACCACAAGTTTTAGGTTCTAGGTCCGCATCCTCTATAATTCGGTGAGAGAGTTATCCTGGTGAGCGATAGTGCCACAACATTATCCAAAGAAAGTGTTTCACGAATGAACCGCCACCGTTCTAAATCGTGCTTTCCGGTCTCTTGAACATCGTTAGAAGGATTTTCTGGCACGCCATGTATGAAGATTGTGTTAAGACGGTCTTGCTTGCTGTGCCCCTCTTCGGTGTTTCGTTTTGGTTGTCGCGCGCTCCAAGGGACATCAGGATAGATACGTATCCCACAGGATCCGTGTTTTAGCGCGCTTGCGGAGAGCAAAACGTTTTCTACGTCGGTGGAGGATTCCAGATTTACTCGAATAAGTCTGGGTTCGCCATAGTGTGGCGAGTTCGGATGACGAGTAATTCGTAACAAGTTTATGGGCTTGGCTTTGATACTCATCTGCATACACAATGAGTTCCATTGGTCTTGGTCGTCTGATAACTTATCCCGCAATGTGATGGCGGTAGATTCAGGGACATTTGAGCATACAACAGTCCGGGCACTGTTGTTGGATCCCTTTTAATCGATCTACAAGGTATGGTACTCATTTGTCTTGACTTGTTGACAAGTGATTGTTTGCTCTTTTTCTCTCTATTTGCGTTAACGGTGTTTACAATGGCAGAGGACGCAACGGCGGCCTCTCGGTGGACCCTTGCAGCAATCTCTGCATATGTAACCGATGTTCTTAGAGGCTTAGTCTCGGAAGAGATATTTGAGCTACAGGTACCAATGGTTCGTGTTTGGCTGCTTCATTCTTGTTATTACTAGATGTCAGGTCTAGTGGAATTTGCTTAACCAGCTGTTTTGAATGGTGCCTGATTTTCGTTGCTGTGAGTACTGTTTGATTCACGTAGGTACAGTCTGTTTTCGCCCGGCGTTCTACCAAAGTTGGAGAAGACAACGGAATGGAGAGGTGGCTGAGTGCGGTTCAGGGGAAGTGGATTGTTCAGCATTCCGTTGCTTAGAAGCCGCTAGGCTTCTGTGGTGCATACTCGCTTCCATTGAAGTAAGCTTATTGTTTATCCTCTGCTCTGCTTCTGCGGTTAACCGATCGCATTTCTCAGCTAGGATAAGCAAGCACTTAACGAGGGGGATGGTGGAACACGCAGTACAGAACCAAAATGCATCTTGGGAGCTATTTCGCTCCCGTAACTGTTGTTGGGACACATTTGCACATTTCGTATGGTACCATGCTAAACAGTGCGAACAAGCCAGACCGATTTTTACTACTCGATGGCATTCTCCTAACCCGCAAATGCCTTTCGCGTGGAGTCTTCGGTTTCACCTTTCTGCCGTTCAATTTGGTGTCGTTACCTGACCTAGTGGGTTGGTTAGCGTTCTGTACTTTTACAGCTTTGAGAGCAGCGCACATCGGTCAGGCGAGCGTGATGGTTGCAAAGTCAAGTGAGCGGTCGGCGTGGTCGCGCGGTTCGTGTGACCGGTTATGCAGGCGCACTGGCTGACAAGGTCACAAGGAATGGCGAGTGAATGGAACCTGAACAGAGCGCTGAACACAGATTGACAGATCACAGATTCTTTCACAGCTGTGTTGAGAAACACTGGATCGGAATAAGCTTAGGCTTTTAGGCCTGCCTCGAGAATTCTGTATAGAATGGTGTCACACAGAAAGGCAATCGGCTCAGTATGATTGAATTAAACGCTTGCGTTTAATCACAGATGCCAGTGGAAACGGTTAGTGATGGCACAGCCTCTAATCGTAGAAGATATTTCCACGTATGATGGATCACTGTGTAGGGCTGGTAAATCCGGTTCGAATGAGCGTACCGTGACAACGCTGCGAGAAGATGGAGAGAGGATAGAGGGGAATAATCTAAATGAACCAGGAGCACGCACGTCACGCATGCAGGCACGAGGTTAGTAAATCGAATACAGCTTGCCTACAAACGCTGCACTGGTTCTGCCTACGTTCTCTGCAGGACCCGTCGTCGCTTCGGTAGTGGTCCCGAGTGGCCTCGCTCATGGCTCACTAGGCCTGCCTGACTCAAGCACTCGCGACCGCATGTGCTACAGCGCCATGCGCTCGATGTCGGTTGAGTACAACCTATCGGCGCCTGCCGCTTCCGCACTGACCGCTTCTTCTCTGCATGTATGAGGTCCTTTTTCCGCACTTCGGCAACTGCCTTCGTGATTAGATCGCGCCATGCACGCCGTTCAACCGCCTTCGATTCCCATGATCTGCAATCAAGATTAGAACGTGAGGCGCTCACTTTAATCATGTCCTGGTAACGTAACTTTGGTTTCCCCACGTGCCGCTTCCCAATACTCAGCTGACCGTATAAGAGTTGTTTCGGTTCCCCCGTCGAATCCGTACGGCTCACATGACCGAACTCATTTATTTGAAACCGAACCACCTCAGGTGTCTCAGCAAAAGTATGCAGTCCACTGCATTCATTACACTTTGTCACAACACTTCCGTGTCTATAACTCTGTCGCCCCAACCGATGCGCAAAATTCGTCGCAGACACTGCTGATGGAACCGCTCGAGATATCGCACATCCCGCCGGTAAATCGTCCACGTTTCACTGCCGTATAAAAGAACAGACAGTACCATGGATTTGTGCACCATCAACTTCGTGTCAATGGTAAGCTGATGGTTGTTCCACACTCGGTACTCAAGTTTCCCGAATGCCGCCGCTGCCTTCGACATGCGGATACGCGGCTCACTGTGTATCTGCTGATCAGTCGATATCACACTCCCAAGGTAGCAGAAGCGGGAGGCGTCGGCGCCTTATACTTATTTGCATTGCAATGAACTCGTCTGGGACAAGAATTCCGAACCCAGCCCAACTTCATAAGCGCAGATTTTGCAACAATACACCTTTCGTTGTGATAAATGATAAGGGTCTGGCGTATACATTTTTTACCTATCTTAATAAAGTACTTGGGATGCAAAGTCTCACCAGTAGCACGTATGGTCCGGATGTGTTGGCACGATCCAGAACAGAGACTACTTTTCACAGCCTTCTCAATGTGTCAACCGATCTCAGTAGAGTGAGTTAGATTGTTTGGTGAGTCTAAATCCTTGTAGTCTCCCCACAGGGAGATATTATTGGTGGCCGTTCCGATTTGTTTAAAGAGTGGTTGTAAATGAGAAAACGCATAAGACAACTGAGCAAAGCGTAGGGCACGGGGAAACCCAACAAGTCAAGGTAAACTACTAGAAACGCATCCACAAAACCAGAAACCGGTCGACCATCACCGGAAAGATTCGAAGTCAACGCTATCAGGAAAACAATAGACTATGAAATAAAGTAAACCATAACGATATCATCACAAAAGTGGTGGAAACAATTATTGGCACAAGCAAAGTTGGTCGGCTATAAGTCAACCAAGACTGGTCAAGATACCGCGCGCCGGGATCCAAAAGAGGGAACATCAGTGATATGTGGACCAACTTAACGAAAAAGCGGGGATTGGCTAATTGATCAGGACCATAACACAGGAAGAGTGCACAGGGGGCTCGAGGAGGGGCGTACGCACAGGTAAAGTGACCAGTCAACGGAAATTGCGGGATGAACAGATCACTGAGTTTAGACGATGATCAATTGCTGTAAGGATACGGACAGTACTACGTTAGACGCCAAAACGTGCTAAGAGAATGAGACATCGGGAACCATCGGCACAGGTGTTGCAAATAGGGTTAGAGAACTCGAGCAGACGCAGTGTGGACAGAGGTCTGTCGAATCAGTTAGTTCGCATGAAAGCTCAGATAATTCAACAGGTGCAAGAAGTCAAGGTGAGCCAACTGATTGAGTTATCGAATGCAGTGGTGACCGGCTGCGTGCTGCAGGGTGAAAATGGGTTTATTAGGTCACCGGTTCAAATCCGTGTAGGAGCGGACGTCCTCGCGGTATACTCAGCCCACACGCGACCGTTGGTAGTCGCGTGGCAGCGAACCGTCGATTCAGTGTACCGGCGTACTGCTGATGACCTTCTTTTCCTTTTCTTTCACAATGTGTTCTGCACCTGCGTTGTACGAAAGCAGACGAATTAGTTTTCATTCTGCCGCAACCCCATTTGGAGTGCCTCATCAGATGCACCCGAAAGATCGGCCAGGTCGAAAAGATGCAAGGAAGCGACGCACATGGAAACCCTTAGCAACATTTCGAAAATTTAAACTCAACAAAGCTATGGTTTGTTTCAAGTGGACCAAGTTTGGTGACCACTCGTGAAGCATTCACTACCATCATATAATGAGCGTACTTTTGATGGTAGCTTCTAGTTTTGGCTGATAGAAGCGGCACTGGACAAGTGGGCAACATATTAGTCAAACACCCACCCTCTACCCACCCACCCCCCCCACACACACACGCACGAGCTGACACTATGTGCACGGGCCGAATGGATGGGGCAAAATTATTCCTGTCTAGTTTGGACCAATCCAATCATGATTCCATATGAGGAAGGGGCAAGTTAATCCTTACTTCCGTGAGTGAACAGCACGTGTGCAACAGCTAGCCTCAGCTGACGGCACGGGCTACTTCGGACTCGGAGAACGGAACGGCTGTGAAGCCTACGGATAGGCTAAGTGCCACCCACCCGAACTAACCATAAGTGTAACGGTCGAATAGATAGTCCAAATTGGGTGTAGCCTAGCGACTTAACCCCAGTTGAGGTAAGTCTGGAATGGATAGAGTAGCAACGAGCGAACTGTAAGAGCCGACCAGTTCATCATGACACCGCCCCTGTACCATTCTGAGTAGATGGGATCGATGCGTCTCCTACCTAGCCTGTCCCCTTCAGTTACATTGCGCTCTTGCTAGACCAGGGGCGCACAATGAATTGTACCGTTTACTAACTCAAAAGCTAAACAAACAAAACTTAGCCCTCAAAGTTTGCGCACTCAAACTTGAGATGGGGTCATATTCTATATTACCCCATCCAAGCGAATTGACACCAAAATTCCAATTCGGTGCATGGACAAGTAGTTAAATTCCATCCTCAAAGGGATCTGAACACTGCACATCCGGGCCTATTGTGCGTAGAAACTGAAACTGAAATAAATTTCGATATCAAACAAGCGTGTGGTTATTTTGAGATAAGAACCTTGGGTATTTACTTGGCGACCACTTTACTGTCTCATGTGGATGGTTGAAGAGCTGTCTTACCTGTTATCTCGCCGACGCTCAATCTTCTTGGATAATCATTTGTGCAACAGCTAGCAAGGTCTTCTCTAGGTAGCAGCAGAATTCCTATGTTAGTGCCACTGAAAACCGTCTTGAACTCAGCGGAGAATGTTACCCATAGGCCTGTGGCCCAATGTCCAGATTTGAGAACCTGTGTTAGTTGAAGTTCTGTGCAACAAATTTCAGATGCACATCTAACTGTCACGGAGGCGAAACAGCTGACTACGATGGTGCACATTATAGTGGGGCGAGATCGTCCAGATCACGTGAGCTGCTGACAGACTCGTTGTTATGGTCAAACCGGAAGCTGACGAAACCAGACAACAGATGTGAGTCACCTCAGCGCGGTAAGCGCATGTGACCTGTAAAAGTAGCCATGTTCTGTGCCTAATACACTTCGGTCTAGCTGGCTCTGCGTTTTGTTTTCCCCGGCTGGTTGGTAGCGCAGAGAGGCAGAGGCAAAGGGCAGCGTCACAACAAACACTTTCCCAGGTCCGAGGTTGCATTGTTCACAAAAGTACCGTTTGCAATTCCGCGGAAACTGTTGGTGTGTGCATAAAAAATGAAATAAAATTTTATTGTCCACAAATCGAGACACGTCTTTACAGGTATAATCATATTAAGAACAAAGCATGATCAAAAATATGCGAAAATACGTGTATGCCTTAAGACGGAATGTCTGTGTAGGGGTGTGTCTATCTATGTAATTGATAGCGCCAGCAATGTGAGGATGGATGCTTGTGGTCCGAGAGTCCGATAGGATTAGCCGGATATTCGCGAGACAAAAAGGTATTTGAGAATTCCACAAGCTTCCAGAACTGCTTTGCACTATTTTGAGAGCTTTATAAACGACTGGTTTCGAGTATGGGGTTAGAATGCGTACAAAGTTTGTCAGACAAAAGGGTGGGCACAAACTAGTGCTATAGAGTAACAAATCACTTTCTTCGTGGAGTCGCCTATTGACACCATTCCAGACCGTTTCCATCAGTTTCAGGCTTAGCTGACTTTCCCTCTGTCGTGTAACGCCCACCGAGAATACAAAACGAAGACCGGACTGCAATAAGATTCTGTTTGATCAGAAGGGCAAACTACACCCCGTCGAGCGTATTCCAATTTATTCTTCCTTGAGTGGCTGCAGCTGGCAGAAGCTAAGCATGCTCATCGGTCGAGACAATTTGTAGCGCGGGCTTACAAAGCGGTTCTCGCTACACGTGTGGGTGTTGCTGCTCAACTGGCGGCGATCGATCAGCTTCCAGATCGCCCGTTCGACAGGCAACCAGCATGATCGATGTGATACCACTACACCCTCCTCTATCTCGTTTTCCGCTCAATTTCTTTGCGACTTGGTGATTAAACAGACATAGGATAACTGGTCTTGCAACCACACAACGCTACTGATGCGACTTATTGACACTCCTATAAAAAGTAGTTTACCTGCCTGGGTAATTCCCGCATCTGATTGGACGGTGAGTTCAGTGGATATTTTCCCTTGTTAACTCAATTGGAGCATACATACTGAAGTAGCAACTGGAGATAGTCGATGCACTGCGCCTTACTAACTTTCCACAGTGGTTGTTGAGTACTGTAGAAATTATCAGAGAACAGCATTTTCAGAGTATCTATAACAAATGTCCGTAAGCCAACTTTCGTTTCCACCCGAACGCTCATAATAAGCAAGCTGATACGACAAGGTGGACCGATGTCATCCAAAGTTTACGCAATGGCAAGTGTTCGATTTTCAGCTGCCCGCCGACGTTTCTGCCGCCACTGGTTTGCCCGAAAGATAGGGTTCCTATAATCGAGAATCACTTAATGAGAAGGATAAGCGTACCTCACTTATGCGCAACTTGCTACTAACTTACTTAACATACGATAAACTGTTTACATCTTTTCTAATTCGTGAGCATTATTCCATCCTTCTGTCGTCGAGGGATCGAAAGAGGAATCCCAATCCTTCAGGTAGCTGGTAGGGAAATTATCACATGGGTGATGCGCACCTATGTTCCATGGATGCATTTTGACAGCTGGTAGCTTTTGTCCGACACGCCAACAGCATCGTCTTTTCTTTGCTTTAATCCATGGTTATTAGACTCGAATTCGTAAGTTCCGCAGCGCACGAATCATACTGCCAGGTTACCAAATTGATAACCCTTCCCTTCTTGTACTTAATGTTTACAAATGACCATACTGCTTCTCTTCATTGTCTGTCCAGACTATGTAGTCGAGAAGAATGATGCCCTCACTGGAGTATGGGAGCGTGTCCCCACTACCGTGACCGATTGCAATTGTCCTGTCCGTGGCCTTGTCGAGGGTAAACGGTATCGGTTCCGTGTCTCTGCGGTGAACATGATGGGCGCCAGTGAACCGTGCGAAACGAGTTCTGCAATCACAGCGAAAAATCCGTTTGGTAAGTGTGGTGACCTGCTACGCACTTGTTACAGGTCGTACACCATGTTCTCATTAAAGCTTTCAAGTTGTCACTGAGCGAATACTGAACGACATCTTTATTCTCCTCAATCACCAGATGCACCTGATTCACCAGAAGACGTAAAGATTGATGAGTTCGACAAACATGGCGTCAAGCTTTCGTGGAAACCTCCAGCAAGTGATGGTGGCAATCCCATTCAAGGTAATGTGAAATAGTTCGCGTGGCAGTTCGACGCTTCTGCCCCCGTTTACCATCAGCTAATACGGAGTTCCAGTTAGAACTAGTTGAACTGGAAGTTTGTGCTCAACGCAAACAGTTTAGTTAGTAAACCATGGACCGGAATTCAAAGCAAGATGGGCCCATGCACCATAACCCGTACTGTTGTTGTAGCTGCTACTAACACCAATGGTATTAATAACCAAAAATCGTAAAAAATAAAGAGGAAAAATTCAAATACCTAGAAAAAGTTCATAGGCAAAAGGGTGTATGTTAAAATCATACTCAATAATGAAGGTTTTGGTGAATGGAAGTCATCAATCGGTTGCAAGATCTTCACTGGTTTCGATGCTGTGCCGCCTTGGAATGAGACTACGCCCACTAAGATGGCTGTTGCTGGGTACATTCCAACGACGGTTCACTATCGAAACATTCATTTTGGTGTGTCCGTCCCTCGGAATTTCTTTGGGCGCCTCATTTTCATATCCCAGTTGGCAAATAGAAAAGTAGGTGCTGGGGCGTATCCCAGTTTCAGGGGGAGTAGTATAGTAGCTAAAAGTTATGCGTATAAATCCACCACATCTCGACTCAGTCAGACAGTTATCACACGCCCACTGGGCTTCGGGTCGCGGTAGCGACCATCGTGAGCGGTGCTATAGCACATCTGCTAACTCAGTCATGGCGGTCTTTACCGTCCCCTGTAGTTCAGTGGTCTCAACCACAGACTGGCAACTGTCGCGTTGCGTATTCTAGACCCACAGGGCAGGAGTCAGATGGGATTCGCACTGCTGACGATTACCGAAAGAATGAAACGGCCGTACGGTGCTTTCCAGGGCTTAAGATGACTGTCTGGCTAGGGCTGGAAGCAGTGAATTTCTGCTTGATGTGTAACGCCACCCCCACGGTTCACTTCAATCTTCTGGTGCTTAAACTGAGCAGTATTTATCAGTCTGATTATTTGAGAACCTTCTATGCTGTAGCTGTCTACGACAGCAGTGCGTTCTCTGGTAGATTTATGTCAGTGATATATCCGGAGGTTAGATAACCAGCAGAGTTTTTCGACACAAGGAAACGTGATCATCCTTCTAGTGCTCTCATTATTGTGGTGGATGGAAGCAGATCTCGGATTCAACAAAATCTCCCTGTGGACGGTGGTTGGAATCGATGACCTTGTGCTAACGTATCGTCGACCGACAATCTTGAAAATTCGTCCAAGCAGGCGTACTGTTGGTATCAAAGACCCGACAAGATTGGCAGTCAATGCATATCCGAATTGTGTTAGCTAACCAATGTAGGTAGGTTGCTCTATAGACATTTCAATGTTAACTCAGACTAACTGTTACTAGATACTTGGGAGCGAAAATAGATATCAAAACCCCGGTTGTTCTACCAGTTAGAAGATGTGCTACTTAAGTATCAACACTCGAGAATCACTACGCTCCCCATGTTCCCACTTAGTAAAGATCAAGTCTATGACTCATAGGGCAACATCGGCAGCATTACAAAGCCGAACACCTTGCCCCATGCTGATGAGCCAACAGCACTCTCCAGTAACATCGTGACTGTAAATCCGGTGTGTTTGGGTTTCCATGCTGCTTTCTCCCATCAATATACTCCACAATCGACCGGTTTCGCCCTTATTTGGACCCGTCAAGTAGATAGCCTGATCTGGGATTGGAACTCGGCACACAGTGGTTGGCGGTTATCATCGTGATCACTAGGCTATGGAGCCTCGCGAGCAGCGCTCCAACACCCAACATTCAGCCAGCGTGTTTGCTTCCCCGGATCACCGTATGGAACTTATGGTCTTGTGTTAGGCGCATCTAAGAGAGTTCTAGGTGTCCATTAAGCTAGTGTTATCGATGGCGCAAACGCTCTGCTGATATTGGCTCTATCTTTGCTTCGCGAGCAAGCTGTGTGGATCAGGGCCGGTTGACAAACGTACAGCGCGCGGACGGTATCGTCCTCTTGACAACGAACCCGAGGGATATGCAAATGCTTCTAAATGTAGTTGTACTTATGATTGTATACCTTGGAAAATCTCCTGCCCTTTGGACTTTCAAAGTGACCCTGTTCGAGTGCGCCCACGGACCACCTCTGACGGCCAATCCACTGGAGAGGTTGTTGTACAAATGTACACAGGTCTCCAACTGCTAGAATCCTTCATGGGAATGAGAGGAGACATCGGATACAGGCTCATGTAACAGATTTTTCTTTAAAGACCTAAACGATTCTTTCTCCTCACTACAAGCTTATCTACCAAAAGCATTATCTATTTGCTATACGATCTTAATTTGCAGTCGTTTTCTCATACTGTATCCTACTTTGCTTATCACGATTAAATGTCATAGGAAACCATTAAAATGGTGTGTAACTGCATTTTCCAACAGAAAATCTATTTGTTTGTTCTAAATTTATTCCGGCTATTTTCCCGTCCGCAACGATATAAAATGCTGGAAATGCATTCACCCTGGTGCATAAGGCTTATTTTGATGGCTTGACTTAACCTATGGGCCAAGAGCACAGTGTATAATTCATTATGCTGTCGACTTACAGCCTTAAGGATTACAAGCCAGCTTTGTATTCCGTGGGCGCGGGTTCGAACCTGCGCAAGCACCGGGTGACCCTCGCAGTATCCTTAGCTCACGCGCGACCGGTGGTGGTTGCGCAGCGGCAAAGCGCCGGTAAGAAGTACCGGCGTACGGCTGATTCCAGTTAATACTTGGAACTTTGCGAAACCTGTTATCTTTGATCTTCGACAAATGAACATCGTTGCTAGATTCTAGTGAGGCCACCAAGTGGATGACTTACATGGTATTGCTAGATGCCTTTTACAGTCAAGCCATCTGATTTGGTCAGGTCATTTTCTCGTATTTCTGTTGATCGACTACCTCGGTGCGTCTTGTATACCAATACCGTACTCGACTGTGTGAAGCCGAAAATAACCAGCTAATGGTATGGTCAGGAAGAACGAGGAATTTAGCCGAAAAGCGTGACTATGTTGGTGCATTCCATTCTCCCAAATGGGGCTCATTGAATCACTCTCAGCTTCTGGCGAAACGCTTCCCCCACGGCGCAATCACGAACCTCTACAACACTCTCAGATTTCGATGTATTACTTTCTAATACAATCAGGTTCTTTATAGGGTACGCTCTTTCCCATCAATCTTTCCACTCCATTTTACAGTATATCCGCGTTCTTCTCCCGTCTCTTATAGCCAACTGGCAGTCATCCACTGTCAGCCTCGATTCAGTGGCTTAACTAAGACTCATAAGATGAGAATCATGAGTTCGACCCCAACAGATTAGACGGATGCATAATACTGACAAGTCCGATAGGGCTTGTTGTGCTTATTTTGTTCAGCCTGATTAGGACTGAACTAAGAACATCGCAAAGCCTTCCACTACTCCCTAGTTATCATCAAGAATTTTGTGGTTACGGGGATCATGGAAACTGTTTCCATCGCACCCGACTGCCGGATCACCGCTCGTCCAATCAAGCTGCATAGCAGACACGTTGACATTCCCTTAGCATTTGTGTTTGAAATGGATGATCCTATAGTCACTTAGTGACTTCTTCCATAGACCTGATATTCCCCTTCTTCGGTCTCCGTGCTCCTAGGCTACCTCGTTGAGAAACGAACACCAGCAGGCGAATGGAAGCCGGCTACCAGCGGCCTGGTGAGCGGACGCGAAGTGAAGTTGGATGACCTGGAAACAGGGCAGACTTACGAATTCCGAGTATCGGCAGTGAACGACGCCGGCCCTGGAAGGCCCTCCAAGGCTACGGCACCACAAGTTATCAAGGATCCAACGTGTAAGTGTAATACAACAACTACTACTACAAGTTTTATACTATTTACTTTTCAGACGGAACTTCATTTTGCTGACGCTTCTCCGTTCTCCTTTGTTTGCTTTTTCAGTCCCACCTGGTTCTCCGGACAACCTGAACGTGGACAAAGTGAACAAGAACGGTGTCAAATTGTCTTGGCAAAAACCACGCAAAGACGGTGGTAGCAAGGTCACCGGCTACCAAGTGGAGAAGAAGGACGATGATGGTAACTGGGTCCCAGTCAAACAGACCACCGAACCATGTGCCTTCATCCCAATGAAGGAGGGTGAGACTGGACAGTTCCGTGTACGTGCAATCAATGAGGAGGGGCCAGGGGAGCCGACTAAACCAACAGCGCCGATTACAGCGGCAGATCAGCCAGAGGCGCCGCGGATAGTCACTCCGGAGGACTGTGTGGGTGGACCTGGAACCGGTGTTGGTGGTCTAAAAGATGTCAAACTTAAGGTGAATTTGATTATTTTGACCTTTTGCTTATCCTACAGTTGTGTCCATTGAAAGTTGCAACAGCTTTCAACTACTCCTTTCAGTACATCCGCCAATCATTTTGTGCTTGCTTTAGCAAACAATCTTTATCGACAGTTTCATTTGTATATAATGGAAATGGAACTTTTGATGTGATAAATTAAAATTGCACCTCAATAGTTCCCCAGTCAGATTGCCTTCCAAACCTCCTGAATGGCACCGGACGGCTTTTTCGTCCTGCTGTGACTCATCGTTGATTCGCATACTACAGCTCCATCAGGAACCCAGCCCGTGTCCTCTCAACACTAGCGGCTTGCGTCACTAGCCAGCAGCTTATACCAGTGAGTCATGGGGGTAGCTGTGGATAATCATGACTTACAAGTCAACTGCGATATAGCGCGAACATTGATGAGGGTTGGGTTGGCCCCATAGGGCCACGACCTACCCTGACAGCAGCTATGTACGGCATAACATTCAGAATCTGTCAGGGCGGATATTTTCGAGTATTTATCCACTATCTGTCACCTAGTTGCATGAGCAACTGACTAATGTTGCAGGTCCATCAGTGGTCATAGGTTCGGTCCATGACGGGACCGGGGATACGTACTACTGACGAGTTCCGCTAAAAGTAAGCGGCAGTCTAATGTCTTTCTAGAAATGTGGTAGGTTCTCTGACTTCAAAGCTGCTGTCAAGAAATTGCAGATAATTTCATCTGTAGCCGATATTTTTCAGTCTTCCACACTGTGATACATCAGCCTACCGGCGGAAGCTTACTAGACATCTGTGCCGGCTAATGCGTGTCGGTGAGGATTAAGCTGCTACGGCAACCACACAGCCTGGTGGCCAGAAATGATAAATATTTTATCCATTATACATCACACATTTGTTGTAAATATTATGAGTAGAAACTGTGCCTCACCTTTCCTACGGTCACCAAATTGCTTGCTTTGACGTTCTCTTCAATATAAATCAAGGAATCAACACCGGCTATTTTGGGAACCTCAAGAAGAAAAGGTTTTCCACTGCATTGCTACCTTATTTGCTACCCATTGTTTGAAATTGCACGCGCCTCAACATTCGCCCCACCAGCTGCATCACCGCGACAGCTTTGTGCGTATGTTATCGTGCGTCTGTGCCGGTTCGGCAAGGAGTGCCGAGATCGATCAGTTAACGAACTACTGCATCTGTCCGGGTAGGGTGACTCATCTGTTACCAACTGGTATCTGCGACGGGGCAGCGTCGAATTAGCATGTATTCTACAGTAAGCACTATGTACTTGGATGATGTAAGCGTGACCACACAACTTCGGAATGGACGATGAGCAAACTGGAGCTTTAGTCGGTAATCCTGCGGATTACCCAAGGGGTTTAGTTGGTGAACGTAAGTTTTGAAGTGATTAGTGGCAATTAAATTTTTTTGAAAGAGGAACTCACCCCAACTTGACCCAGTTAGGTAATCACCACATACACAGGAACGCGACGGATGGATGTCACATCTTCAAAGAGAAAGTCAAACTAGCAAAATTTTCGACTAAGCGAAGGGCTGGACGATATGATCCAAATTTAGTTTCTACTGCTAGAAGTTGATCCCGAGGCCACTGTCGCAGCAGGCCACGTTGTCTACCGTGTAGCTGCGACCTACAAGTCAGTCGACAGCCACCCCACTACATCATACCTATATACTTAGTTATGCCGGTTGCCAATATCCACTTTGGTTTGGAGGCTCGAACCTCTGTGTGAAAGTATCTAGAGCACGGTTTGGAGGTATTCATTAGGTTTAGGGAAAGAGCGATCCGCCTTCTCCGAAACAGAGGAACATGTCGCATGCGTTACTGAAAGTGTGATGGATTCCACTACATCCAAGCTTGCAAGTCCCAGTCATATACAGTAGCCTCGTTGATTGATAAACACTCGTTTTGCACACCAGGAGGATGGTTTTGTGACTTACACAGCCATTGTTCACAGGGAATGTGAACGTTTCAGCTTTGCACACTCACAAGTGATCAGTTTAAAGCGTTCGCTTTGTTTATGACTTACATTCTCCAAAAGATGCAGGGATTCGAACACGTTTGTTATTTCGGTTGGAGTCTAATTCAGAAGTCGCTCTATAGAAGCTGGTACAGGAATGTTGATACTGAAACATAACACAGAAATGATCCAACGACACAACGAGTCTTGTGTGGTGGATATTTGTAGTATTCTTACACGTCCCACGCCATCGAACCATTCGGTACTTCTCTCCGACTTCGCACGCCGCCGCTGTCCGCCTAGTGCTTGTTAGCATTGTGGTCAGTGGCATTTCGCTCGATTTTGTGAACTCAGACGATAGATGTGCAAGCGTTGTGAGAATATGGGACATAATGAAACCAGATGTTTGCAGGGAGCCTCTGGAATACCGTCACGAACCTTCGCCAAAACTCCAAGTTTTCAACGTTGCGTTTCGAATGTGGCGTTTTCGACCACTAGCCCCAACTATCAGTCACTACGGAAGCATGTTACGATTGTGATAAACAGTGTTTCTGTCCGGCTTCAACTTTTGGCAAGGGGTGTCAGTGTGGCATTCGTCCTCGCAGTGCCAGAAAGCCTTTGATGAAATTAAACAAATATTGTCCTCCGATCTCCCTTTAGTTCATTACGACCCAGGATTAATAATAATAATAATAATAATAATGATAATAATAATAATGTGTCATCTGTACGCCGTAACGGCGCTTCGCTGCCGCGCGACCACCACCAGTCGCGCGCGGGCTGAGTATACCGCGAGGACGCCCACCCCTACTCGGATTCGAACCGGTGACCTTATGGCTGCAAAGCAAAAACGTGCAGACCACTGGGCCACCGGCTGACGACCCAGGATTACCAATACTTGTCTCTGCTGATGCATCGCAAATCGGTATCCGTGGTGTCTTGTTGCATCAGTTCCCAAATGGACATCAAAAGGCTGTGATGCTTGTTTCCCGCTCGTTGACAGCAGCAGAAAAGAATTACAGTCAAATAGAGAAAGAAGGATTAGCGTTCGTTTTTGCGGTTATGAAATTTCACAAGGTGGTACATGGGCGCAAATTTACTTGGTACACAGATAATAAAACTTTGCTATCTATTGTTGACACCAAACGAGGTATCCGCGTTTACACGGCAAACAGATTACAGTGTTGGGCAACCACCCTATTAGCATACGATTTCGATTTGCGTTTTAAAACTACCTCTTCGCTTGGTCATGCTGTTGCATTATCCAAACTGATGGCCGACTGCACGTCCAAGACACCATATGAAGACATTGTGGTGTTCAGCATTATTTTAGATCTCGAGATTAGAGGGGTATTTCAAACATCTGTACGTCAAATTCCAATGACAGCAAAGGCAGTTAGAATAGATGCGGCAACGTATTATGTGGTACCTTAGCACTGGTTCACCTGCAGGCCCTTGGACAGCTATGGTGTGCGGTTTCGTAAAAGGAAGTTCGTCTTACCCACCATTGATGGTTGTTTGATGTTATCTGCCCGAGTTGTGATTCCTAAGATTCCACAAAAAAAGGTTCTCAGTCAGTTCCACGAAGGTCACCCGGGAATCAGTCGTATGAAATCCAATGCCCGCAGTTATGCGGTTCGTACCTGTAACAGCTGCGCTATGGTAGCATAACTACCTGTCAAATGGGAGCTTCATTCTTGGCAAACTCCGAGTGGATCATGGTCTCGCATTCATATTGACTTTGCGGGACCCTTGGAGGGTTTCCACTATCTGTT